GAGGGATTTATAGAATAACAGTTGAGCATCACAAATTTTGAAAAAGAAAATGGGGTAAGAGATGGGCTTGCACTGGCAGGTGTGAACCCACAGGATAAGTATATTAAATCCACACTATAATTATTATAAATGACTAAAATATGTGCTTCCACAATGAAAATAGACTATTCTATTCAGCTGAATAAAAGGTACAAAAAAATCAACAACAAAAACGACACTCTTTCAAAATGATATACCACTTAGAAGACAGTTTGGCAGTTTCATACAAAACTAAAAATATTCTTACCATATAATTCAGCAATTGTGCTTCTTGATATTCAACCAAATGAGTTGAAAACTTATGGCCACACAAAAACCCATACATGAATGTTCATAGCAGCTTTATTTATCATAATTGGCAAAACTTGGAAGCAACCAAGATGACCTTCAGTAGGTCAATGAATAAAGAAATTGTGGCACATTCAGACGATTAAATGTTATTCAGGGCTAAAATGAAATGAGCTACCCGCCATGAAAAGACATGGAGAAAACAAATGCATATTACTCAGTGAAAGAAGCCAGTCTTAAAACACTACATACTATATGATTCCAACTATGCAACATCCTGGAAAAGGCATCTGATGCCTTTTCCAGATCAGTGGCTGCCAGGGATTGGTAGGGAGGAATGAAAGATGTTGAAGACATGTTCAACAGAGCACAAAGGCTTTTTGTGATAGTGAAACTATTATGTATGATACTACAATGGTGAATATGTCATTACACATTTGTATAGAATATACAACACCAAAAGTGAACTCTAATGTCAACTATGTACTTTGGTTGATAATGATGTGCCAATGTGGGCTCATCAGTTGTAATAAATGTATCACTCTGGTGCAGGATGTTGGTAGTGGAAGAGGCTGAGGAAATATGGGAACTTTCTGTACCTTTTGCTCAGTTTTGCTATAAACCTAAAACTGATCTAAATAATAATGTCTATGTAAGAAGGAAAAAAGAGCAACAGTCCTTGATGGCTTTACAATTGTTTTACCAATCCTTTGAAGAAAACAAAGATCTTAAATAAAACATTAGCAATCTAAATCTGGCATCGTACTATATTTTTAAATTTAGGATTTATTCCCAGAATGAAATGATGGCTTAACTTCAGAAAATCTATCAACGTAGAAACTAACTTAACATGTTAAAAAAGAAAACAAGTGTATTTCTTTCAATAGCTCTAGAAAACACACTTAACAACTTTAAAGCTCATTTGTAATTGGAAGATAAACTCTTAGCAAAGTAAGAAGACAAGGTAAAGCTCATGATTTTCTCAAAGATGTCCACTAAAAGTTTACAAAACATTATAGTTAATGAAGACCCATTAGAAGAATTACCTTACAATCAAGAAAAATTTAAGGATTTTCAATATTATCCCTTCTTTTTAACCTAAGTTTTTACCCAGCAAAATAAGGCCAGAAATAAATATAAAATGTATATGGTTTGGAAAGGAAGAAACAATCTTGCCATTAATTGCTAACACTATGAATGTTTGCAATGCTTTCTGTTGCTGGATAACAACCACAAACTTAGCAGTTTAAAAACCCACATTTGTTACGTTACAGTTCTGTAGGTCAGAAGTCTGTATCTCTACTCAGGGTGTCAGCAGGCTACAATCAAGGTGGGGCTGAAATCAAGGTGGGGCCCTACTTCTGCTCTCAGCTGGAGCTTACAATCCTCTTCCAAACTCATGTGGTTGACAGAATTCAGTTCCCTGGGATTGTAGGACTGAGGCTTCCATTTTCTGTTGGTTGTTGCCTGGGGTGTGCTCTCAGCCCCTGGAAGCCACCTGCAGTCCCTTGTCACTTGGCCTACACTGTGACAGCTTACTTATATTCAAAGCCACCAGGAGAATCTCTCCCTTTGGTCACCTAGAACTGTCTTAAATGGCACAACATAATAATGGGAGTGACTATCCCATCATATTCACAGTTTCTACCCACACTCAAGGGAAGGGGATTATATGGGGTATGTACAAGAGGTGAAAATCTTGAGGGCCTTCTTAGAATTTTTACTACCTTAGTATAGAAAATCCAAGAGAGTTTAAAAAACTATTATAAGTAAGATGATAGTTTGGCCAGGTGCAGAGGCTCATGCCTGTAATCCCAGCACTTTCAAAAGCCAAGGTGGGAGGACTGGTTTAGCCCAGAAGTTTGAGATCAGCCTGAGCAATATACTGAGACCCCCAACTCTACAAAAAATAAAAAATTAGCCAAGTGTGGTGGCTCATGCCTGTAGTCCCAGCTACTTGGGAGGCTGAGGTGGGAGGATTGCTTGAGCCTGGGAGGTCAAGGCTACGGTGAGCTGTGATCATGTCACTGCACTCCAGCCTGTGTGACAGAGTGAACTCTTGCCTCAGAAAAATGTGTGTGTGTGTGTGTGTGTGTGTGTGTGTGTGTGTGTCTTTTTTTCTAGACCCTGAAGCTGGCGTGCAGTGGTGCAATCACAGCTCACTGCAGACTCAACCTCCTCAGGCTTAAGCAATCCTCCCATCTCAGCCTCCCATGCAGCTGGGACTACAGGCACAAGCCACCATGCCTGGCTAATTTTCTTTTTCGTTTTTGTAGAGATAGGGTAGTACTTATGTTGCCCAAGCTGGTCTCAAAGTCCTGGCCTCAAGTGATCTGCCAGCCTCAACTTCCCAAAGTGCTGGGATGACATGTGTGAGCCAATGTACCCCATCCAGATTTTTTTTTCATAGAACTTTTCAAGTACATCTTCGAATTAATGCAAGGAATAAACAGAAAAGAACAGCTAAGAAAAAAACTGAAGAAAGAGAAAGGAGGAGGAGCAAGGGAGCCAGAGACTCACTCTTCAAGATAATATGACTTATTATGAGAGCTAGAGATGTTAGAAGGACATCATAGCACAGAATGGTCCACACAGATAGACTCAGGAACACATGTAGATGCAGTTCCTCATACATGTGAAAACTCCATTATTTATTTATCATACTTGGCTCCAATCTCTCAATTTAAATACACCAGCCATTTTCTCCTGGGATACTGAAAGGTACACCACATACAAATTCTGCTTTTAATGTGGTTTATCCTTTTAGGAAAGTTACTTCACCCATTTTACTTCAATTACTTGATCTATAAATGGTACTGCTGTGGGAATTAATTGTGATGATCTATACAAGTTGCTCAGCACAGCTGCCAGCATGGTGAGCAGTAGTAAGTGGTTCCTATTATTGCCATGGCGGTTTTCATTTCTGCTCTTACTACTACTGTTTCTTCATTGCTATGAAGGGATCTAAGTAGCACCTTACCATAGTTAGACAAAATGCCGTATTGGTTAGGGTTCTCCAGAGAAACAGGCCAAGAGGATATATAGAGATATATAGAAAGAGATGTATTATGAGGGATTGGCTCATGGATTACAGAGGCTGAGAAGTCTCCAGATCTGCCGTCTGCAAGCTAGAAATCCAGACAACCCAGTGTGGTTTCTTCCAGTCCAAGTTCCCTAAGAACCAGGAGAGCTGGTGCTTGATGGCAGAAGGTGGATGTTCCAGCTCAAGCATAGAGCAAATTTGCCCTTCCTCTGTCTTTCTGTTTTATTTGGGCCCCCAATAGATGGGATGATGCCCACCCGCATTGTTGAGGGCACTCTTCTTCACTCAGTCCACCAACCTGAATGCTAATTTCTCTCCGAAACACCCTCACAGGCACACCCAGAAGTACTATTTTACCAGTGAGCTGAGAATCCCTTGGCTCCATCAAGTTGACACATAAAATTAATCATCACAAACACTAAAGCCAAACTTAAGACAGGATAGCTAAAACATAATTTGCTATCAGATTTAGAGAACTTCCCAGAATTTTCCTAAGGTCACCATCATATTAATGAACATTGAACACTCTTTGCAAAGTACAAAAATATAGGTAGATATCTTCTATCCACGTATTATGAATGGGTCAGTCCAGTTCATCTCCTGCAACAAGAGAAGACTTTACTATTTGCAAGGCTAGGCTGCACTAATTACATTCCACAGATGCTTGCAGGTGTGTCAGCCACAGCAGTTAGCGAAGCTCTTACAAATGCAGGTCTCCACAAACAGCAACCAACACAAACCACCAGGTGGAGGCCAGCCAGTATCCACCTCTGTACCTGTGCACACCTCTGCTGGCTGCAGGCCTCATGAGACAGTTCTACCAGCCAGGAACGATGACACTGGTTGTTGTACACCTACAGACTCTTATGTTCCAGCAGATTATCCCCCCCTTTTAAGTTCAATTTTACATATATGTTATTTTAAGATACTACAAGTTGCAACACAGAATAAACATTTTAATTGGTATGACATTGAACTATTCAAAGAAAATTATGCAATAGAAAATATGAGAAAACAATATAGTAAACACTTGGTTACCTGTGCCATAAACGGAGATGGAAAATGCTAAACTGTAGTTACTTTCAAAACATGTATATAGGTCTTATTTTATTTTTATAGGCATTTCTTTCTAATCACCTTTGGTTATATTTGCATGGTATCTAAAACCAGTTAGATTGGTAGAGTCTTAGGCCATATGAAGGGTGAGGGGGAAACCGACTGCAAGGAGGCACTGAAGCATTTCTGGGGTGACAGGTGGGATCCGTATCTTGACTGGGGTGCCGGGGGCAAGGATTATACAAGGAACTGCATACTTAGGATCTGGGCATTTATCCATGGGTATTAATTCAATTTTTTAAAAAGGTCACAGGTACAGGGACAAAAAAGTTAAAACACAAATTCTAAGAGGTTATACTTGAAGGTACATCCCACTACTCTATTTCTTCACCTGATGGAATAAAATTTTGAAATATTCAGCAAATTGACTGTAACTCCCAAGGAGTTTACTAAAGATAGCTGGTGAAAGGAAGTGACTCAGAGACCTATAAGTGGCAAAGAGGAGCCAGTTGAGGATTAGGCCTTTGCTGGGAGTAAACCACCCACATAATTGTAGGGTCAATGTCTCAGTTACCTGTGCTTATTCAGAGTGGTGTTGACTTGGTGGCTTCCTAGCCTTTCTGGAGTATGCTTCAGCCACTAAGAGATTTTGATTTTTCATCAGCATGTGCCCGAAGCCTCTGGGGTCACCCTGAAGGGACTAAATACAATTAGATCTATTCCCTGACAGCTGAACAAGAACATATAGATTATTAACTGACAGCTTGATGTGAATCTCAATGGATGTCTCAGGTGATGTGCCCCAGGGGTCTGCGCCAAACATTTGTATCGACAATTTGGATGAGGCCACAGAAGGTGTGTTTACCAAATGTGCAGAAGCCACACACCTGGGCACAACCACCAATATGATGGGCCACGGATTCACTTCTAACATCACCTGAAAAGGGACATTGGCTAGTCCCAAGCCAATAAGTTAAACTAAATTTAAAATAAACTGCCATTAGATCAAAAGACTGCCAAGTACAGGGTGGAGGTGGGAAACGTGACCTGATAGAATTTTATGGAGAACACCCTGTGGCTTTAATTGGTCACACATGCATTATAAGCCAATGTTGTGGAACAGTTGGTTAAAAGTTGAACGCCTTGATGGACAGACCCACAACCTCAATACAGAGGATCTCCTTCAGCTCAAGATGCAGCATGTCAGAGTGAAGAACTGGAGCATGAGCCACCAGGATGGTGGGATGTAGACATGTTGTGTGCTATAAACATTTTAGGAAATGGCATTGTTCAGCCTGAAAGAGAGTAGACATGGTGACCAACCATTCCAGTTTTCCTGGGACTGAACTTTCCAGTTCAGTTTCCAGACCCAGAACTTTTAGTTTTAAATCCAGGATACTCTGGCACACCAGGACAAGCTGTCACCCTAGGTCAAGATGAGAATGAGTAAGAGGTGCCAGGACACATTTGGACCAGGACACAGACTCTGATTTCCAAAGGCTGGAGGGGCTTATTCTCAGTCATACTACACAGGACCATGGCAACAGCAGAAGTGGCCCAGAGGCAGAGTTGGATGCAAGATAAGGCTAGTTCTGAGGCTCCCAAGGAGTTTTCATGGATGAGTGAGCAGCACGCGGCAGGTCTGCCTGAGAAGGAGCTCATAACTTCCTGGATATGAAGACCCCTTAAACACACACATACACCAGAAAATGCATCATGGTCAAAACCTCTTCATTCAGGGATGCTTTTAAAGGAATCCATATTCTATCAATCACAACAGTGTCTTGATACATTTGAAAGTTCTTGAACATGTGCATAGAAGATGCAGGATTTATTCTTTCTGTACAGAATGCTCAGGCCTCAGTTTCCTTGCAAACACTCTGATCCACTACCCGCCCAGCTCACCTTTTGGGTTTTCAGCCTCAGGGGAAAGGGTGAGGCTGAATGGTGCCCCAAGATTCTTTTCAACTCCAAGATTCTATTCATTTATCAATATGGTACACATTTTTCTTTATAATATTGTGTATAATTTAATAATAGCCAGTATATAATAATGCACATATTTTTCTTTCTATATGTTGTATTCCTCTGGTACTTGTTTCCAGTGCCTAAGGTGTTCTAGAAACTGACATCAAGCAAAATGATACAGATACAATGTGAAGAGCAGATGCATTTGCAACTCTGAAAAGTCGAAACTGTAAGAAGAGGAGCCATGCCTGTCCTCATTCTAATAAGGAAGACAAAGGAGAAGAACACAGGGAATAGTAGGTGGAGAAGCCCTGTCCTACAGGAGTCACCAGACAGGAGAGGGTGGGCACAGCAGGGGAAGAGGGGGCTCCAACCCCAGCCCAACTCTGGAGGGGCAGCTGTATTTGCAGGGAAGGGATGGGGGAGGTTGGTGGGGATACAAGCCATGAGAGCCAGGGCCTTAAAAGTGGACAGGTGCCTAAGGCCTGACTCTAGACACCAAAGTCAGAGGCCTGGGGACCAAGTTAGAGAGATCAAGAATCCTGATGAGGACCAGGGAGGCTGGACTGGCCTGAGTGTGAATCCCAGCTCTACCCTTCCTGGCTATGATGGGCATGTTACTAAAACCCACTGAACCTTAGATGCCTCATCTGCAAAATGCCATGTCAAGAGCCTGGCATCATGCCCGACCTGGAGTCAATGCTCAGGAAATGTTTGCTCGCGTGGCTGCTGTTCTGCTGATTCTCATTACTGTCATCAGTGGTGGGACACTCACATGTCACTTCCCAGTCACTTCTCTTCTTTCTCAGACTTTGTGCTGATGGAGGCAGCAAGAAAATCTGACAAACACAGACAGAGTCTAGGTTTTTTTTTTTCCCTCACATGAGAGGAAGTCTGTAGTTCAGCAGCTACTGGGGTTGCCACTGGAGAGGCAGGCTCCTGCTCCAACTTGCTCAGCGTGGAGCCTGCATTACAGCACAGCGGCTGCTGCACCTCCAAGCCTAGCACCTGCCTTCCAGGAAGGAAGAAGGGGAAAGGGTGAAGGACGGAGGGCAATAAGAGCACCCAGCTGAGCCAGACCTCCTTTTAAGGGTTTGCTCAGAACC